CTTTATACGACTAAGTGATACCGTAATCAATGAGTAATTATAGAAATCTATATTTAGTATTCGTTTTTAATCTTACAAAGAATAACCCATGTTAATTGATTTATGAGCTTCTTGGAGATCATACCATACTTGATTATTCCCGGCCAATAACTGGCAATGTTATGCAATATATAAACAGTAGGTTGAGGGTGAGTATACGGATGGGTTCAATGATAAAGTAAGAAAAGTTTGAAATGTTAAATGATACATCATATTTTCTGGTACATATTCTGTACACACATTAAGGACGACTGGCAAAGGAAAAGCCGAGAACTTTTAAAATTACGGCTCCTTTTAAGTGGAGACAACAAAAAATAGTAAATGTAGATTTTACGCAGAAGTATAAATATCACATTTGTAGTTTTAATTCATTTCTTTTTTAGAAGTAAATTATATCTCAATTTTAAATTCAATTCATTATTTTAGTAAATATTGTATACTATTATATATTTTAAGCTCAAGACGCTGAACGAGAAATAAAATGAATGTCGTATTCATCGCTTTGATGCAATGCCTCTTTATAACAAGGATTCAATCTTGACCTTCGAGCACATTGTTTTCATCAAAAACAACAATCTACGAGACTATAATTAATGGCAAAATGTTACACTGCGGTGTTTGTTGAGAATGTGCTGCAGTGTCTCAGAGAGTGTAATAAAATGAATACATGTGTCTCGGTGAATTTTGAAATAACTGACCCAAGTGCTGGCGGCAAACGATGTATGTTGAAAAAGAATGTCATTGGAGAAGGATTCGCCTTAGTGGATGACGCCAACTATCAATACGTGCAGATGTCCAAACAACACCTTGCAATTTAGTAAGTGTTTTTTCTACTATCATTTTCTTTTCTTCGACATTTTTCTGCTGCCGAAAAGCCATCATTTAAACTTGATCTAGGTTTTTATTTCGGACGATTAGAAATATGTAAAATGTGAATGAGATCGAGATATCACTATCAAATATTTATTGATCAGTCAACAAGAAAAAATTATAGAGACAAGCATGATTTTAGAAATACAGTCGTCTCTATTGTACACTAGTTTATGAAGTTTGTTGGTTTGAAGAAGGATGGATATACCATTGGAAAAACATTGCCAATAGATATTATGCTATGTTTTACAATAATATTCTACACCTACAAATTGTGTATTATCCCGTGTTTGTAAGGATATAAATCGTTTATCATGTGAATGTTTTAAGAATTAATACTTCCATAAATCCATGTTCTCTTCCTCCAATTACTCTTCCGCAAAGTGTTCAAAAGGACCGGTAGTGGTTTTTACAGGATGGAGCCACCCCAACACCTCAAACCAGAGCCACCGGTGGTTACAGACACACTTCGGCAATCGATTCATCAGCAGAACGTCCGAAGTCAAATGGGCCTTCCTTAGCCCAGACTTGAAGCTCCAAGATTTTTCATCTGTGGGAGTTTCTGAAAGATAATAGAGAGGTTAAGCTTGCACAACGGAAACGTGAACGGAAAGATTTAAGCGTGAAAATGAAGTCATGTGCAACGCATACTTTTGTATGCGCTTCAATACACCGGGTTCAATACCCGTTCAGCCTTTCTTGTTTAGAAAGAGAAATTTCACGTTGGAATCATGATACTCATATCTATTGAATACAACTTTAATTCGAGCGTTAACTTGAATTACAATGGAGTAAAGCCTACATACAATAATATAAAAACGTGTATGGGATGTTCATTGTTCCCAAATTGCTTTGATGTAACGTCGATTTAAACCTACTGTGTTTCGAAAAGGAAGATATATGTCTCCAGTTTCCACCCATGAGCTCATATCTTTTTAAATGTCATATCGGTAAAATATTTTTAATGTTTTTTTTCAGGATAATTGCTCCAGAGATGTCCACAAAAGAAAATTATTATGTGACGCAAAACGTAATTCCAGTTTTTCATTCTTATTTTCTCCCTTTCGTTTAATTCAACTAGTCTTGATTTTAGGGGCTCATTTATTTAAAGGAACAAAATGCGTAAATGAAGTCTCACTTTTGATCTTCATAGTATTTCCAATGGATTAATAAGTACCTGATCTTTCATTTGACACCAAAAACAGCTCAGACAGACCACATCAGAGTTGACACTAGATCATGAAAAAATATTTTCGATCTATCAATTTATATATGTCAAGTTTGTAGCAATGCCATTGAAAGATGGCATTGTTGTTTCATTAATTATCCATTCATTTTTGATAGGATTTTCAACCATACGCCATCTTTTAATCCAAGAGTTATTTAAAACATACACTTCGTGAAAAGTGGTAATTCACTTCTTTTGATCTCTGAATTTCAAATGCTGTTTTCTATGCGAGTAATTTTTTTCACTTCAGTATTGACCCAAATTAAAGTTTTTATCATATTTGATTGAGTGTGTGAGTAACATGTCTCAAATAATAGTTTGTCATTTTCCTTCAAAAATAGGCGCATCGCCTGTTTAATCGTGTTATCGTGTGCCATAAGTTAATTTTCCATTCCAAACATCTAAAGGTTTTGAAATTAATAAAATAATTTTGAGAAAAATTTGAAATATTGCAAGAATGTATGAGATAATTTGCACTTCTATGATTCTGATACATCATTTTGATGTATGAACATTTTAATTTTCCAGCGTGTAGCGAAATTCACCAACATAGCTACAATGGACACTGCTATGGGTTTGTCGAATCTCCATTGACGACTTATGATGATGCCTCCCTGTATTGCCAAGCATTCGATGGCTATCTGGTCTCCATTAACGACGAAGCAGAGAGTAATTTTGTGAACACGATTCTTGATGGGTCAACTGGTATCACATTCATGGGTAAGATGAATAGTATTAAGTGACGAAAGTGCATGCAAGGCTTAATGCCCACTCCTTGTAATTTTTGGGCCCGCCGGGCTTTGTATTATGTTGATAACTACTCAGTGCTTGCGTTAGAATTTCCTTTCATATACATGTACTATAACTGTAGTTTATTTTCCAAAGCCTGAATTGGCCTCGCTAATTTACATTTGCCTCGCCAATCTTTTTTATCTTGGCAACACCACTGGTGCAGTAAATCTGTCTTATCAGAACGTCACCCAGACCGGTGTAAAAGGTTAGGAGGTCCTATTAAATTATGGTCCTACTCTCCATTGATTTATATGGTCACCTAAATATAACTCTTTCCCTCATTATTTTATACGCAATCAGGGCCAGTAAGGGCCGTTAAGAAAGGGGACCATAATCCCTGGGGGACCATGATTTATTTCACACCTGTAAGTCATATTTTGCACTACATGTATAATAACCTTGTTCGATGTTCTTTCAATGCACCAAGTTTCATTAGTCTATTCCAAATGGTAAAGATTTTATAACCATTTTTTAAAACATGTTCAAATGATGGTCTTGTTAGAGGCAGAGTTGAACACACAGGGCGACTACACACCGACAGATTTATGGTGGAATGGCTCTCACTTTCCTTCTAACGTCTTGTTTCAACGCTCTATTGCTTCTAGGGTTGTTAATGTACACATTATCTTTAAAATAGCGCCAACGATAAAATTCTATGGGTTCTTTGTGGGTTCATTTGTACCACTGCCAAATATGACTTAAAACCAATACTGGATGGCGGAGTTCGATATATTAATTGTATAATTGTTATGAGTAATTTTGGCGATTATACCTTATTCAATAGATAAATAGAAGCGAAAACGTGAATGTTGCTATTCAGTTATGGTGTACATTCTGATTGGAAATTGCTTAATCTTAAAAAAAATTTAAGCTAAAGAATGTTGACTTTATTGAGGTATTGTCAAGGGTACCAGAATTTCTTGCTAATAGGCCCACAAGGTGTTTATTTTGCACAGGTACAGTACTATTACTATGGTCTTAGATGTACAGTGTGGGCCAAAAAACGCCACTTTTTTCAAGACACTATAACTTTTTTATTTTCCAACCTACATACCCCATTTTGCAGTTATATAGTGCCAAGGGTTCTTAGTAATAATATAATGTAACAAGTCCATAAACTGGGATTATATTTGATCTAAAAGAGTTCAATTGGTCCGCCACCCTATTTGATGATAGATTTTAGTTTTAGTCGCCTTGCTGATATAGCAGTATCAATGAAATGTTAGCTATATTCTTCAACGTGTCTTAATTACCAGCTTTAGTTGAGCAATGTTTTAGATTGGGTGCCTTCATACCATCTCCTGGAGACCTCCCCATACCCTATACTCACTTGGGTTTGCATTAGGGCTATTAGCTTGGCAGTCATCAGGGCGTATCAGTTTAGGAACATTTTGTAAATTATGCTTATTTCTCATGGCACACCACATGTTTAAGTGAGATGCTGGTGACATATTTTATTCAAGCAAAAGTATATAATTCATGATCCATGGCTAAATAACAACCTCAAGTTTCATTTGGTATGCAAATTATGATTTTGTAAAGTGGCTTTTTTTGGCCCACCCTGTATATCCATATACATCAATCATAAAACACATAGAATTCAGTTTCCAATATTATATTTTCCAAAAATCACATCAAGCGTATAAATTTACAAAATTTGGAGTATCTTACGTCAAAGAACATCCTTCACTGGCATGGTTTATTTTAACATTATGAAATACAGCCTTCATTGCTTGCTGACACTCATTGTAATTCCTTAAAATAGATTATCATCCACTCATGACAATGGGATAGAATTGTAAGTGGACAAACTTATAATAGGGAGGTTAAGATTAGCGTAAAATTGTACGTATACCTATCCCTATCCGTATGTTTGTAAGGGAGGTCAGTTGCAAACATACGGATAGCGATAGGTATACGTACAATTTTACGCTAATCTTAACCTCCCTAATATCCATCAGAATTCACCCTACACGTAATTTGGATACTGGCAAAAAGGAGCATATTAGAAAAAAAATTTGATATGTGGGGGGGAGATTATTACAATATCCATTTTGTACTTTGAACATCACAAGAACTAGAAATGTCCTTCATCTATTGAATAAATTAAAGTACATTGCTCCACATTGTATATAGTGTACATCTATGTCTATGACATGAATTAGTGTATATGAGTGTCAAGTAGGGAGTTAAAAGATCAATTCTGATTGGCTAATCATTGAGATCATCACGCCTCTGGGCCACCAGCAGGTGGCGCTTGTGGTGCACCCTGTGTATCCAATTGTTTCTTTGTTCCCGATACGATATCATCTATTCTTAACAATAAGATAGCAGTCTGCAAAAGATGAAACAAGACTTTTTATAGTCTAAAAGATTAAATTAATGAGTTTTTAAATCAAATTAAGTTTTAAATCAATGTTTCCTTTTTAGTTTTAAAGAATTTGGACATTACTGCATCTTAAATAATTGAATTCTTTCTGAAGATTGCTTTAAAAATTTTACTCTTTTTATCTTTACCAACACTTCAAAAATTAGGAAAATAAAATTCAGTTTGGAGAACTATGCAGATACAGGGTGACCCAATAAAAATGCAACCCTCCATTTCTTCAATATTTTTCTTAAATGGAGGTTAATTGCTCTGAAATTTGGCACACAAGAATTTCATTCAATGTGGGATCCTCTGGCAAAGTTCCAATAATCATAGTCTTATATCGATAGAGCTATGGTCGTTCCAAAATATGCTCCATATGTCGTTCATTTCCAATGTTAGGTTTTCGGATGAATCACATTACCTTCTTTCTGAACATGTTAACTCAAGAAATAATGTGTTCTGGGATCACAAATTCCAGATGAAGTGCTTCAAAGGCCCCTTCATTCTGTTAAATGCACAGCTTGGGCTGCCAATTTCCAAACATGAAATCATCAGCCCCTTTTGGTTTGAGGTTGATAATGGCAACACTGTTACTGTCAACACACAGCGCAATATTGGCTTTCCTAGGAAATTCTAGGCAGTTCTAGAGTGACATAGAGGCTTCAATAGACAAGAACAGTGGTTCTAGAAGGATGGAGCTACTCCTCACCTTCTAATGATAGCATAGCCTGGCTCACTAGTGATTTCTATGAGAAGATTATCTCTCCTAGGACGGAGAACCCACGGTCATCCCAGTCTTGATCTCAATGCCCCTGACTTCAATAAATGGGGTTATTTAAAGAAAAATGTGTATGAAAATAACCCTACCGCAATTGCAGAACTCCAACAAGCAATGGCTGCAAAATTTGAGCCATACCCATGTGGAATAATGCATCCGTGTTATGAACAGTTTTCCTTGAACACTGCAAGTTTGTTTTCAGTGAAATTGACGACATCTGGAGTATATTTTGAAACAACCATAACTCTATCAATATAAGGCTATGATTATTAAAACTTTGCCAGAGGATCCCACATTGAATGAAGTCCTTGTGTGCCAAATCTCAGAGCAATTTACCTCCATTTAAGAAAAACATTGAAGAAATGGAGGGTTGCATTTTTTTGGGTCACCCTGTACATGTTAAACATTGAGTCTTCTTTGCAGAATTAAGTTGTTAGTAAGACAGTCTCAAATTAAAACTTAACTGAATTCATGTACATGTATTGAATCTAATAGGAAACAAAACTTTAGCACATCTGGGCTTGTAAATTTAGCTGATCTTAGAACAGTGAATTCCATCCACCATTATTCACTAACAAACAAAAGTTTTAGCACATATTATTTTAGATGGGTTCTCACCTCAATGGCAGTCTTATACGTCTGTGCCTTGACTGAGAATGGTTCCCAGACACCATAGTCTTTCATGTCTACAAGGTTACCAGATTCGCCATCTATGCCCCATGTGGTGTTACCCTCTGTCGCATGCTTAGCCTGGAACACAAGTGTACACATTCACAAATTAATCATATTTGATAAGTATAATCATATGTAACCAGACAACATCATCGCCAAACCATAGCAAATCAAATCGAACAGCCATGGCTGGCATTTTTACAAAATCGTTCAACTACTTTTTCAGTTGTAACAAACATAGTAAAATAACAACATAAAAATGGCCACCATTTTCAAAATGGTCGCTCACAGCCAAAGTGTCATTAGAAAGTGTAATATCTGAAAGCACCACTGTCTCTAGACAGTTCTACAGAATTATTTTGAGGCTACAAATCATCCTGCATGTTGAACACAATATTTCTTTATGAAAGTCAGATGTTCAACATTGTTTCAACAAATGGTCAATGTTGCTTTCACACGCTGAATGCAGTAAGGATTCTGATTGGTCAATGGCAGGTTATTGCAAACCCGAGTGCCATAAGGATTCTGATTGGTCAATGGAAAATTATTGCATACCTGGGTGCCATAGGGATTCTGATTGATCAATGGAAGAATATCACTTTCCTGAGTGACTAAGGGATCTGACTGGACAATGGAAGGTTAATGCTTATCCCAAGTACAATAAGGGTTCTGATTGGTCAATGGAAGGTTATACATACCCTGAGTGCAGTGAGGGTTCTGATTGTGTTGGCGCCACAATTCTGGATGAGAGTCCTGGGAATCACCTCTAGAGCTCTAGATACAGCCCTATATGGCCACTGGGTCACCCCTGTGATGCTCTTGGACTTCTCATTCAATGCCTACAACACACAATGCACACAAATGATTCCTTGTCTTAAATAGAAGTTCATGAATTCAATATGAACCATTAAATCATGAAAGGGTCTCAGTACAAATGTTGGATGTCTAAAAACATATCATCGGGAGAAAACAATGTTTTACAGATGAAAGGAATAATAAAGAAACAGAATTTCAACAGAAAATATCCAAAATATGTAGAGTACATACACAAGACAGAGCCATCTCTCCAGCGCCTCCACCTGGTACAAGTCTAGGGTCAACAAGTACATTCCTAGCAACATTCATAGCATCTTGGAGATTCCTCTCAACTTCACTGAGTATGTCTTTGCTGGCACCTCGCAGAAGAATTGTGCAAGCCTTTGGGTTCTTACATTCAGTTATAAATGTAAAATATCTGCAAGTAAAGTTGTTAGAATTGTAAAGCTGTTGAAGATCACAGAAGCTGTATTGTTATAAACGGGGTTATTAAGATTTTTTCTCAAATTGTCCATTTTTCAATTTTTTAAACTTAGTACAATTTATTATGTACTTTCACCCATTATGTCAGATTCCAGCATTTTCTTTTGACATATACATGTAAGCTGCATTGAAAGTGCATGTACTTGAGTATGTTTAAACACGAGAAAACTCTCAAAAACTGGCAGAGTAACATTGTGATCTATTTATATACAGTGTTTATCATAGTGAACTTGGATGAAGATTTCTACAATGTTTGCTTTATTTATTTTCAATTTTCAAATAAATTGTAGTGTGATTTTGTGAAACAAATTTTGTTATTAGGAGGGAATGCCATCTTTCATTACAAAAAAATTAAACACAGAGTCAGCAATATTGTAACTTCAATGTTCAATACAATTCAAACAACTAAAAGAGAGGGAGGATATTGGATATTGATACCAAAATCCAGCTCCTATTATCACATCAATATATCAAATACTCAAATAGATAACTTCATGAACCAGAATTGAAGCACCAAAAATCGAGACATAATAACAAAATTCTTACTCTTCTCCTATTTTCTTGACTTCAAAGAGTCCACATCCAGTTCCTATATCTTCCTCTCTGATCTCATCAGTTCTGCTTACTATAGTAGCACCCACAGCTCTGCAATGTCAGACAATACAATTTAAAAACCCATTAGTCTCCCCAGAGCTCATGAGTACATTGAATACAAAATCAAAAAATAAATATACAATAAATCAGAACTGTTAGTTCGATAGTTTCAATAATGGATAAGTAAGAACTGGAGAGAAATTTGGTCATGTATACCTTTTCTAACCTAATCGCAATAACAATGCATTTACTCGTACATGTAAATATGTTGATCAAATGCATTTGTCATGAATATTATTCAAATGGTTTGGGTATGATAATTAATTCTTGTAACCATTCATCCTGTGATGTTTTGTTTTTCTTTAATGCTTTCTGTTTTCCCCCTTTGTCCATTATATTATGCATATATATTTTACAAGAAATTATACCTTGCTATCCTGTTGTTGTCAGACTTTCTTAGTCGTCTGATAGCTGTGATGCCTGCTTTCACAAGAAAATGCTGGGCCAGATCTGAGACGCCTTTCTCTGTTATGACCAGGTCAGGTTTGAAGCTTATTATGTCTTCGCAGATACTCTGGATGTAGGCCTCTTCCAGTTGGAGGATTTTCCTGAAATTATTTTGAAAGAAATTGAATTTCCTGAAATTATTTTGAAAGAAATTGAAGTTTTAAGCAACACTGACATAACAATTGAAACTTTTGAGTACTGTAGACTAAATGATATAAGACTTTGTTTTATGTTGTGGTCTTAATTTCAAATCGAGAACACTTTTATCAAAGAACAGGTCCATTTAACAGACTATTGGTCCACTTAGACTTTTTCTGAAAAACTCATTCTTCCATTTACTTTTAAAACTGATTGCAAGTTGTAGATAAACCTTTCTTCTTGAGATGTGCAATTTCAAAAAGTGGCATAAGTTCTCTGTGTCTTTGAAAAATTGGCAGTAAGAACCCCTATCACAAGGCTGGCTGAATATGGGTACACATTATGTTTACCATCAAAATAATATCAAAACTTATCATTATATTGAATTTAATATATGGAACATATGGCATACAAGTATTCGTAGAAGAAAATTGACAAAATCTAGCAATGTATGTAGTTTACCTATGCAAATCTAGAAAACATTGTCATTTTTCGTTCATTTTGTTATCAAGTTTTAGCATGGTGCTCATTCCCTTTCATTGAAAAGTTAACTGTCAGCCCACACTCCCACAAAAAATATATTGAAACTGTATAATGCAGAGACTGTAAAGTAGCTTCTCTGCAAATATCATTTTTGTGGGAGTTTGGGCTCACCACTAAAACTTAACTTTTGTGATGAAAATAAGCCTGACTGGTTTATGTTTTCAATATGGCTGCTAAGCTGAGCATACATGTACACTACATAACTGCATGTACAGATTAGGCCATCCAAAATTAATTATATGTTGGCATTCTGATGAAGAGCCTTATATTAAAAACTACAAAACCTTCATTTATTTAAAGGGTTTTATATATTATTTAAGAGTGAAAATGCACAAACATATTGTGCCAAAGCAAGTTACACACCTCTTGAGTTCAGATAACCTTGTTAATGAAGTTTATATACATGTAGTTTTTAATCAATCTTGGAACTCATTTCACTACAATATAATCCAAGATCACAATTCCCTTTGTCATTTATATACATTACAAGTAGAGAGTACATGGGAACATTTTGTTTTTTCTGAAAACATAGAATTTAGTGACATTATTATAAGAACATATTTGAATGGCCTAAGTGTTTTTCTAAATAGGGAATAAGTAGAAATTATTTTAGGCAATCCTTTGAGTGTCATGCCATTCATACATGATGCTGCCTTATATTTTATGATATATATTGAAAGAGGATTTCTCTGAATGATTTGTGTTTCAAAAATGGGAACTGCAAATTGGCAAATAACTTTAAAAGTAAGTGTACATTCAAACATTTTAATTTCAAATGCCAAATAAAATGCCAAATGCCAATGGGCATTTAGTAAAAGTGACCCTATAACTATTTAGAATATGGCAAACATGTTTATAAAACTGGCGAGAAGCAAATGAAATAAGAAAATCCATTCTTTTTGAAGTGCCCTTGTGTGCATTTGATTTCAGTCATTTTATCCTAATTGCCCATGGGCATTTAAAATAATAATCACATCCCAACTCTTAAAACATGGTTTAAATACTGTTAGAGTCTCAAAAAGGCAACAAGAACATTCATTTTTGAAACAAGAAAATTTAGTCCCCTAAAAATGCCCATATTGGTATTTATTCTCAAGATTTCAAGTAATTGCCTGTGATAATTTATTTTAAAAAAAAAATTCTATTCACATGTCTTTTTATCAGTAACAATCAAAATAAAGCCAATTGCTCTCATTTCTTGGATTAGAAACATTAAATTTTTAACAAAAATAGCAACTCTCAAAGTTGACCTTTAAACCACCCTAGTGTCAAGGTCAAATGTCAAGACTCTCAGAAATCACATTTTAAGTAATGAGTCATACTTCCTCTTCAATTCCATGTCAATGTATACTTGTTCTGTAGGGGGGCTAAAAGAGGGGTTTACCGCCACCTGTCCTTTAAACATAGGCTCGCTGTGAGCCAACAAGTCTGATAGAGCAAGAAAATACTTAGTATGCAGCAATTTTCAATATTCTATAACCTCTGATTTTTGAAGTACTAAAGGTCAAGGTCAACAACAATGGCAATAAACATTTAATAATTATGCACACTGGGGGAGGGGTAAAACTAATATTATATGACTGTGGGAAAATATTGATTTTTAAAAGTGGCATCTTGTCACTTAACACAGCAATCAATTATTACTCAGGGACCCAAGTTCTGAGAAACAACTAGAAAGTGAAAATGGATATTGGAAAGTATTACGCGAGATTTTTTCAGTTCTTGTTGGAAAATAAGTTACTTTTATGATGTGGGGTGATATCTAGAGTCTGAGACTTGCGAAAATAAGATATCTTCATCTTTATACCCCCCGCCCTATAATTTTAGGGGGGTCAGAAGAAAATAGACTTTAATTCATAACTTTGGAAGTATACGAGATACAAACTTAATTTTTTCACCAAAATTTATGAAATAACATCAGTAATGAAGAAAAAAATATCTGGAATGAAAAAAAGCTAATTTGCGTAATTTAACCCTTAAACTGCCATAAAAACTAGTAAATGACGAAATGATGTCATATCACATTTACTGTTATTGCCTTCATATGAAGTTATAGCTTATGAAATAATTCCTAAAAATGCATCTATATATGTATAATAAATGTGCAAAATATGAGAAGTGTATCTTACATAAAGACTGTGAAAAAAATTCTCCCCCTACCCAGATTTTTGAGGGGAGGGGGTCAAATAAAAATGGACTTTAATTCATAATTTTAAAAGTATATGAGGTACAAACTTAATTTTTTCACCAAAGTTTATGTAATAACATCAGTAATTCAGAAAAATATTTTTGATACGCAAATAAGTTAATTTGCATAATTTAACCCTTATACAGTCATAAAAACTGTTAAATGACGATGCGATAAAATACGACATTTACTCTAATTGACCTCTCATGAAGTTTTAACAAATAAAGTAATTCCTAAAAATGCATCTATATATGTTTAACAGATGTGCAAAATATTAAAAGTGAATCTTACATAACGACGCTGAAAAAAATTTGTCCCCCTACCCAGATATTTGAGGGGGGTCAAATGGAAATGGACTTTAATTCATAACTTTGGAAGTATATGAGGTACAAACTTAATTCTCTCACCAAAATTTATGTTATAACGTCAGTAATTCGGAAAAAATATCTTGATATGAAAATAAGCTAATTTGCATAATTTAACCCTTATACAGTCATAAAAAACGTTAAATGACAAAGTGATGAAATACGAAATTTACTTTAATTGACTTCTATGAAGTTATAACTTGTGAAATAATTCCTAGAAATACATTTACAACGGGTATGCACAATATAAAAAGGGTATTGTATATAATGAGTGTGAAAAAACACCCTACCCTAATATTTTAGGGTTGGGGGAAGTTAAAAGAAAATAATAAACTTTGATTCATAACTTTGAAATCGTATAAGAAAGAGCTTATACATGTATTTCTTCGCCAGAATATTGAGAAATCACATCAAGAATGAAACAAATATTACATGGAAACAATATTATACTAGTAGTAGTAGTAAATTTATTAATTAAAGTCTAACGCACTAAAGATGTTACATTAAGATACATACATGAATTAAAACAATTCCTGGTTGATGCCGACCTATTAGAGACCATCGCATGTAACTATTTCATGCCTTTTGACTAACATATTTATTATCATACATTTTCCAAGTGTCCTTTGAACAGTTTTTTTTCATTCATTATTATACAATATTTTCCTAGACTTGTATACATGTAAAAGTCACTATGGATATCAGTCATTTAGGCAAACAGACTTAATCGTTCATTTTCAAACATATGACATTCTACTTTAAAGTGAGTTTCTGTCTCCATTAGCTGTCCACATGGGCACGATCTCTGGTCTAGGGGAGTTGCGTTATTTTTGTTTATATTTCAATATAAAAACAAACTATCATTGGATGTATTACACTTGTTTGCAGCATCCAAAATGATATTAGAGCATTACCACTAATTATGGATGCATTTTTGGTTTATAACAATTATACATTTCAATGAATGCTGACAAACCACTTTTTGAGATTCCAGAGCCAAGGAATGGATTTGGATGTCAAGTGGTTCATATTACTCTTGAGACCATTAAAATGACCAAAAAACCGAAACTTGATATAACAAAAATCTCAAAGTCATTTTGCACATGCAAACGATACAAGGACAAAGCAATATGTTAAACCACTTGCTCATGTCCTACTGCAGGTACAGAATGTTTTTCTGCATGTTCATGCGGCTCAAAGGAAAGTGAGTGTGGACGGGAATAGGTGGATTAACCCAAATATATATGATGACATTTTCACTGCATCAGGTAACTACAACCTAGAATATGACACCAGTCCTCACAGTGACTCTGATTATGGTTCAATAAACTTTAGAATTGTTATGGTTACCTTTTTAAGGGTTATTCTGAAACATTGCAAGTTCAATTCAACTCAATTTATTCATATATTTAATCATTATGTGTACACATATTATTAATAATAGGTGGCACCACATGTGATGCTTAAATACCCGTACATATAGTAGTTAAATCATGAAGTATATCATTATGTTGTCAACGAATCAAACCGGAATGTAATCACAAAAGTTAGATTATAATAAATAAAGGTATGGGGGATCCATGATGCTCGTTTCATTTGAAGCCAAGAAGGTGCCATATGCCATGGGGAAATTTTATGAATGTGTAGCTTCATTAATTATTATTTGAAGATGCCAGGCTACCGCATTGACGCAAATAATCTTTAAAAGTGTGATTCTTATAAAATATTAGTTATTATTTTACCTTCCCCAAGGTTGGTATGGTCAGAATTATTATTTTAGATATTAAGTAGTTTGGAGCAGCCCCCAGGTTGGCCCATGTACCTCCCTTGAGAGCCTACTCTTCTTACTGAAGAAACAAGAAATGATATAGTCAACTAATTATTAATAAGCTAAGAGAATATGCTTCAGTTTTGATTTAAGAAAAGAAATGGAATTTGACTTTTTTATTTCTTCTGGGAGATTGTTCCATATGGAGTAACCACTGTTTTTTGCCATAATTTTCAGTTTTGCTTTAGGAAGGGTGAAGTTTGATTTGCCTCTAGTATTATATCTATGAAAATCTCCATGGGCATTGAAATAGTTGGGAAAAATAGCTTCATAATTCTTAATATCATTTTTCCATTTAAATGCTAGTATTAAGAAAGGATATATTGTCAAAGTCCTTACTTCATGTGAAGTCAATTTCAGTATTATAATGATTCTCATGACTGTTTGAAGCTTAAATTATGCAAATTATGTGAAATATAGTATTGTCCCCATGTAATATTCATTTCATTATTGATGTGATTTCTCAATTTTCAGCGAAGAAATATAAGCTCTTTCTTAAATTATTTCAAAGTTATGAGTTAAAGTCTATTATTTTCTTTAACCCCCCCCCCCCCAGCACTCAAAATTATTAAGGTAGGGTGTAAGATTCTTTTCAAACTCATTATATAAAATAACCTCTTTATATTGTGCATATCTGTTGTACATTTTTTCTCGAAGTTATAACTTCATAAGAAGTCAATTAAAGTAAATGCCATATTTTATCACTTCGTCATTTAACGGTTTTTATTACTTTATAAGGGTTAAATTATGCAAATTAGCCTATTTGCATATCAAAAAATATTTTTTCTGAATTACTGATGTTATAACATAAATTTTGGTGAAAAATTAAGTTTGTACCTCATATACTTCCAAAGTTATGAATTAAAGTCCATTTTCATTTTGACCCCCCCCCCCTCAAATATCTGGGTAGGGGTAGAATTTTTTTCACAGTCGTTATGTAAGATACACTTTTAATATTTTGCACATCTGTTATACATATATAAATGCAACTATATGAATTATTTCATAAGTTATAACTTCATGAGAGGTCGATTAAAATAAATGTCGTATTTTATCGTTTTGTCATTTAACGGTTTTTATGACTGTATAAGGGTTAATTTATGCAAATTAGCTTATTTGCATATCAAAAATGTTTTTTCTTAGTTACTGATGTTATTACATAAATTTTGGTGAACAAATAGGTTTACACCTCATATACTTCCAAAGTTATAAATTAAAGTCCATTTTCAGTTGACCCCCCTGAAATATCTGGGTAGGGGAGACATTTTTTCACAATCTATATATACGATGCACTTTTAATATTTTTCACATCTATTATACATATATAGATGCATTTTTAGGAATTATTTCATCAGTTATAACTTCATATGAAGGTAATTACAGTAAATGTCGTATATTATCATTTTGTCATTTAATAGTTTTCATGGCGGTTTAAGGGTTAAATTATGCAAATTAGCTTATTTTTGTTCAAAATATTTTTTTCTCCATTACTGATATTATTTTGTAAATTTTGGTGAAAAAATTAAGTTTGTATCTTATATACTTCCAAAGTTATGAATTAAAGTTTATTTTCTTTTGACCCCCTCCCTTCAATTTTAGGGTAAGGGGAGAAATATTTTTCACAGTCGTTATGTAAGATACACTTTTAATATTTTGCACATCTAATATACATATATAGATGCATTTTTAGGAATTATTTCATAAGTTTTAACTTCATATGAAGGCAATTACAGTAAAAGTTGTTTATTATCATTCCGTTATTTAATAGTTTTTATGGCGGTTTAAGGGTTAAATTATGCAAATTAGTTTATTTTCGTTTGAAATACTTTTTTCTGCATTACTGATGTTATTCTATAAATTATGGTGAAAAAATTAAGTTTGTATCTCATTTACTTCCAAAGTTATGAATTAAAGTTTATTTTCTTCTGACCCCCCTGAAATTATAGGGTGGGGGGGTATAAAGATGAGGATATCTTATTTTCGCAAGCCTCAAACTCTAGATATCACCCCACATCATAAAATAAATATATTTTCCAACAAGAAAATGAAAAAATCTCGCGTAATACTCTCCAATATTCAAAAACAAAAATATTCAGGCTGGGTCCCTAAGTATATCTAAATACAACTTACATAAAGTCTTCCTCTTTAGTTATTTCTAGATTAGTTTGGCTCTCTCCTTTTTTGTACTCTAAGTTGCAGTCCAACAGCAGAATACGTGGGTTTGTTAATTTACGTTTCATCTTGGGGTGGACAACATCTTTATTGATCATACAACCTTTGAGAACCTCACTCTCTTCAATTGTACCCCCAGGGATCTAAATATATAAACCAATATGTGTTATTGGTATCAACACTGGTCGCAATGAAGTAAGTTTCTGTAATTTGAACCAGATGATTTTCAACATTATAAGTACTGAAATTATTATAAAATATCAAATCAAAATTTTGACCACTAGCTTGCATACTCGTAAAATTGGTTTTATTTCTGATGATCAGAAAGCGAGAGATGAAACTAAACAAAACACTTACTTTTTCTACTTTGGCATATCGTTTGATGTCGATCTCTGTGCGTCCCCCTTCTTCCAATGCAACAGTTTGTGTGGCATCCAGGGCAATTTGGCAAGCTAAGTCTGACCATTTACGGATAAATTTAGTTCCTACACAGCTTTTCACTATCTTCAGCATCTCTTGTCTGTCATTAGTATCAACTGATACACTGTAGAATGAAGATATGTTATTTATGTTTTTGTAAATTATGAATATTAGCAAAAGTTTTACCAGAAAAATAGTTATTATGTATTACAAGATGAAAGTTTCATTCAGAGGATAAGTCAGGGATTGAGTCCGGATATCAGCTTAGAAAATATTTAAAATTGATATTATTAAACTTCAATATCTTATCCTTCTTCTGAGATTAGAAAAATATCATTTTGAATGAATTAATGAATAATATTGGCATCAAAGACAACGGACAACAGAATGGTGACATAAAAAACAAAAATTTGAAAACTATGGAGGTACTTCTTTAATTTACTGTATCCATGACATAACAACCTTTGAATTCAATTCAAATATTAATCTTGATTGTAGTTACCTGACTTGTTCTCTTAGTATTTCTATGAGGTCTTCTAAGGCCTGTCTGTATGCACTGATGATCACTGTAGGGTGCATCTCTTGTTTCAAGAATTGTTCTGCTACAGACATTATCTCACCAGCTGTAACATAACATAACATAACATTAACATAACATAACATTACATAACAAATAAGTCGGTGGTTTATGGATCTGGTAAAGGAAGAAGGTATACCATTTTCTTTTATTCATGTCAGTGAATAGTACTTGTGTTAATCTTGTCATAATTAACCCTAATATGTTTGAATTATAATGAATGTAATTAAGTCAGTGTATTTCACTAAAGAAATGCATTAGATTCAAAAGAACTTTCAAAGCTACACTGCCTGAAAAAATTCTCAATTTTGATGTTTTGCAATCAGTCGAAACATTTAAACAAAGTAAGTATTTTGGGTAGTAAAGAGTGTTCATTGGAGCAGACAGTGGTGTAGTTATATTGTATCTCAGACTGTGAACAGAATACTATTTTTTCATTCAAGTGGGTACAGCGCCACTCGCTTTAATGCTGAAGAGATCATTGCTTAAGTATTCACTCAACAAAGGTTTGACTGTCCCCATACCTAGGATGATGACTGATGTTGTCCCATCGCCAACCTCTTCATCTTGTGTCCTTGCAATCTCAATCATAGACTTAGCTGCTGGATGTTCGACCATAATCTATAAATATCAATGCAAGGTCTCATTAGACATGCTGACAAACTTATAGGCAATGTATGGAAATTATATTTTCAGTACAGACACAGTTAGTCAAAGTTACAAAAGTCCTCAAAACAAAAACCTATGTTAAATAAGACCAAAGAAAAGCTCCTGTTGCCATCTGTTTATGAAACTCCTGTATATTATAACAGAGCTTTTATACTGCCCCCCCCTTACTCTAAGGCCAATCTATATTTCAACACAAGTCACTCTTCAACAGATTATAACAAAGCATCAACATGCAAAATGTCACCACCTGCCGTTTGTTACAGATGCCGACTGCCTAACACTGTCCAAATAAAAGCTGGAGACTGTAATATGTCACCACTTCTGGTGGTGTAATAATAACTATTATAACAATTGCACCTCATGTGTCACTCATCATTTTTTTCTGAACAGAAAGTTCATTAAAAAAATGTGTGAATTCTGTATTATAAGAGAAGGGATCTGGTAAAGTACAATGCTGATAACAGAAAATGCTACTAAACGACAATGCTTGTAAATCAGAATGCTTGTAAATCAAAATGCTTGTAAATCAAAATGCTTGCTAACCTCACGTAGGATGGCATTTCCATCGTTGGTCATCACGATGCCTCCCATTGGGTCCATCAACATCTGAAACAAAAACAACAAAATATTAACATCATATAAAACATGATACAGTCATCAGTCGTAAGACTATATGTATAGTCATCATGTCATTTTGCAGAGCTGTAGTAAAACTGAAATACTACAGAAGATTGTAGCAGATTTAAACATAGCCAATCGATGCTGTTATTTACCTCCAAGTCCATATAAAAATAATAAAATTCTGTTTTTTTATGATTTCCCAAGTTGACCATATTTTCCTTGATTAACAATCTATATCAGAATATACATTAATAATGGGGATTTATACATTGACCTTTCATTAGGGCTGGATCCATATTCTTACTAAAATGCAGGAAACGTGCGATTCCCCATGAACAATCAGTAATCAGTAATTTGGCATGAATTGCGAGGCCCATTTTGCGACAAAGACATATGATCAAATTCATAAAATAGGCTAGCAGAATTTCTTAAGCTATTCCATATATTTGAGCAGGAGTGTATAATTGTGATTGCAAAATGCATCAAAACAATGAGAAAACTCTCCGCAGTCCCAAAAGACTTGATTAATTTAGACTGCATTCAATTACAGTGTTTCATCTAAACACCGTTGTTACTGTTACCATGACAACATAAGATTTATGGCAACCAGTACAGATTATGATTATGAACTCATTGATTAGGCAAGTTTGAACAACATCGTTTATAATCTCATTCTTCACTTTTTTATCTGATCATAAAACAGGCCTTTTAGGGCGGAAAAATTCTAGATTTAAGTGAGTACAGCTAAGTATGAGTGCAAAGATAACAATTCTAGATTAATAGACAAACCTGGGAAGCAATCAGTGGATATTAGGGAAATAGGATATCTGTCTGGATATATGAGAAACAAGCAATTTTACAGTGATTAAAGTGTTTGATACTATAAGTTAATTTTAGGGCCATATACAGAAAATACATGGTCTCAGAAAGTTTCTCACACCTTCTGAAACACATCTTTCAAGGGCACATTATTTTTGGAGAAATCATTGAATAATGTTTTTATATTTTATAATTTAAGGCATTTTCCATATTGGTGTTTTATACAGTTTTATGTTCTTAAACAGAAATATATATTCTTTATCATATGATATTTATATACAAGTCTCATATGAGCCAATCAGATTTCTAGAAATTTCATTATCATTGAATAATTCTGCATATTATAAATTACCTGTTGGTGCTTCAATACATTTAAGTACAGTGATACTATTAATCTTTTCATTGACATACAGCCCCTGGATTAATGATTAAACACTAAAATACACATAGATACTGAGACCCATTGTATATGTACAAAGTCATAATCTAAATTACATTAAAAACACTGATAACAAAAAAAACTATGAATTGAACAGTAAGTCTTCAGTATTGTGTGTTAACAAATCTGCTACTTCAAATAATTTAGAAAACCTGAGTGTCAATATGCATCCAATTACGCAAAGTATCCAACGATTACCAATATACACATAGTAAGCTTATTCAGTACTAGAGATTGAAAGTAAAATTCTCTAAATACAGAGTTGTGTTTTGATGAAAGACTACCCTCCAGGTGATGGATTACAGTAAATGACAGATTAGAGGAGAAACATAAAGTTGTACATGGTCTTATGCAAACACTGTCATAACATCATCTAACTGTATTACTAATTAAACTAATAACAGCATACAGCACATGTCAATAAATGATCTACTGCAAATTCTATGGAATTTCAACATGGAATTATAACATAAAGGAGAGCAGCTAAACACTCTAGTCTGAGGATGCTGTGTGTGAAAAAGAGGAGACGTCACAACAGAAGCCACATGGGTGAGACTGTCAAGTTTTTTCAATTTCGTAAAGTTGCATCAAGTCACATGGGATAGACAAATGAATGTTTTTTATTCTTTTTTTGACAGGTATCCTCTTGCAAAAGCACTTCAGCTAGTAATTGTAAATTGCTAGGAATCTTCAGTCATTCAAAATGTTTTATGATTATCAATGTCAATGGTGCATATTTATTATTTACAAGGCAGTGATTATCATCCATGACTGTCAATGCTTTCTCAAGGCTTTTTATGTTTTGTTCCAGTGAAACAATTGGTTTTTAGTGTATCAATTATGCAGTATAAATTATATATATGTTACAGGAGATATATCCTAATGATGGCATAAAACACTGAAAATCAATGTTGGTTACAAGATATTGTGACAATAACAAGATGTCACCTCTTGGAGGTTCAACTTATATAAAGCTTATTATTTTCCATCTACTGGTTTTTGACACCTAAAAATTAGAGTAATGGATTTGTGGTGTTCTTGGGAACAAAAGCAGAATTGATTTTTTCTCTGAAAATGTTTTGCCATGCTGAAGTAAGGGTGAAATTCAATTATTAACATGGTACTGGAGTTCATGATCAAAGCCAATGATGCACAAAGTGCAAATGTAAATATTCTACAAAAAAGACACAGAAACATCATCTCCAAGCGGTTTTCACACTTTATATAATAATATATTTTCACTACATTTGTTAGAGAGGAATATAATGAATGATGATTGTAGTACATGTACTTAAATGTCTTCCTCAATAAATGTCAACATAAAATGAGGTACATAAAATGAGGTAGAAATTTAGAAACCATGTTATTTTATTAACACCCCAGTCACATTTGTCGCACGGCGGCCGCAAGTCGACCGCAGATCAATGAAAATCTGTGAATTTCTGCGGCGAGCGTAGAAAAACTACGCTCGCCTTGCGGCCTCCGTACGGCGAATGCAGATTTTTACAGGCTGCAGGGAAGGCATAGAAATTATAACTCGGAGTTATAATAGTTGTTCATTTCTGAGGTCCCCGTAGAAATCAACTGGCTCAACAAGATTGAATCATTATTTGTCAATGTTTAACGATCACTTTTCATTTGATATTACATCCTAGCACTATGAATAACATTTTTAAATTGTCCCGATGTAAATAAAATGAAAAAAAAAGTATTATTTATCAACAGAAATTTAAAATTCACCGTGCGGCTGCCGTGGGAAATGTGACTGCAAAAGTATGAGAGCGCAGAAATTCCACGGCGAGCGTAGAAATGTTACTGGCCGCAGAAATGATAGACCGCAAGGTCGCTGTAGGAAATGTGACTGGGGTGTTATACATGAAGCTTGCTACAACTAATGATATCTAGTTTTGGCCAAAACATGTACACCAAATTATATTGTTTAAAAATGTGTATATACGAACTCTTAAGTGCCCCATTCTGTCTTTGGAACAATGAATAATTATAAAGAAAAAAACAACAGTGATAAATATTGCACTCGTTATCGAAAAATTCAAAATGGCCAGATTATGACGGTGGAAACATATCTTCTTAAATGTTGCTTTTGTCCCAGATGACATAATAATTGGCTCAATAGTTCTTTGTGTAAAAAATAATGAAAATCTATGAAATATTCACTGGTATGCTTTTACTGTTGACATAAACCATGTTCGCTCTACCAGAGATTATTGAAAATCTGACTTGCTGTGTACCTTTGTCAACAATAATAGTTGAAACAAAAGAAAAAAATTATAAAACTATAATATCCGGAGCTTAGCAGAAAAGAATAGTCATGAAGAGATGGTAAAGTGGCAATAAATTAGGGCCATCTCAGAATTTTCAAATCAAAATTCCCTGGCTTTTACCAAAATCAAATTAGGGATGTGCTGAATCTGTTCGGACGATTTGGAATCGGAACATTGTCTCACAGAATCGGAACCCCTTTCGGACCACAAACAAAAAGAAAAAGAAAGTGGTTCCACCCCGTCGATTCTTACTTCCAGGGAAAACTGAAGGTCATACTCTCAAATCAAAACAAAACTTGATTTCATCACTATTTATTCTATTTATGCGACAAATACACATGGATTTTTGACGCAGTGTGAAGGAAAACATTAACGGGGAAACACTGGACATAGATATTAACGATTCAAAGCCAATAGTAGGTAAGGTTCCAATGTTTGTTTGGAACATGATATGAAAGTTTCAAAAACTGGTATTCAAGCAAAAGTTTGCAGTTTGGACCGATTTCGGCCAAATGGCACAGCCCTAATTCAAATTTATTAGGCAAATTTCACTGACAAAATGGAACAGTCTTTTTTGTCAAAATATTAATTTGTGGAGACAAAATACATGTTTACTAACAGCATTAGTACATGTACAGATAATTTTAGTTGTTTTTCATTTCCTATTTCTTTTCTGTTTGTGGTTTAATTTCTAATTTCTAATTTCAAAATTTCAGTAACTTATAATTTGCTGATGCTTTGTCAGAATTTTGAAACTCTTGCATTAATTTAGCCATTTTTAAAATTCTCTTACTTTTCCAAACTATGTAAATTCTCATCTCGTTATAGATATTGAATGTAATACTTTCCTCAAGAACTTAGTTCTGATTAAAAATATTTGATTTTTTGTCAACTGCTCCAATGTTGAGAAGGGAAGTAACCAATCTATGAACAGTAATATATGAAATACACAACAGGTGGAAGCTATGCTCTATTAGGTCCTGTTTCACTTATAAATATTATCAGAGAACAATTTTGAGTTAATAATTCTTGGGAAGTCAAAACTCATTAGCTAACAATGCAATAGAACTGGAAAAACAAATCGCAATTTCAACACGATATGAGCCACATATCAAATTATTCCAGAATTGATGATTTTATACATATATCCCCAGCATTGATTATCGCACTTGTTCACAATATGTGTACATTTTTTTGTGTACATCATTAGAAACCCCGAGGGGCCTCCAGGCTGTATTAATGTTAACGGTTCACTAATTTATATATTGTAGCAGTCTGGAAAAGATCATTTCAGATTAGATTATTTTATTGTAACTACCATAAAGCCAAGTACCAGGGGAAAGGGGAAAATATTACCAACTTTAAACAATGCTATAAAACTCAGTACAAAGCTTTGCTTCGAAATTCACATCTATAAAATCAAATAAATAACTGTAAATTTCATAACATTAGGGAGTTTAAGCTTGCATATATTTATATAAAATTGAAACACCAACCTATAAGTATGACCAATCGCCCATACAAATGCATCACTTAAATATTTTCTGTTTACGCTTAGGTTGTGAAAACATTGCAAGCTTAAAACTTCCTATTAACTCTATAATGCACATAGCTGCCATCTTTTAAACAAAAAATATCTATATGATGAACTTTTCTCTTTCTGTATAAATGTACAATAAACTAATGTCCTCTTCAGCTTTGCAATTCTAACATTGGTCAAAACATACTAAGCAATCATGATTTCCTTACTTTCAAGTAGATGCAAATTACTTTTAAGGAGGGTGTAAGCTTATTATCTAAATCTCAACTGTTTGCTGTTCACTCTTTTTATTCAATGCTGGATGGGTCAGTGGTGTACCAATATTATCTCACACTAAGCAGCGTGAGAAATTGCACAGTGAGAATATAATTTAGCATGACGTGACAGGGCTACTTGCACAACATGGTCTTCGGCTATCTGTATATAAGACATAAAACGTCAATGAAATCCTCTACATTTTAAGACTCGTTAAACTCACCTTTAGCATAGATCTTGGTCCCAGACATGTTCTAATAACATCAGCTATGGTCTGAAATAAAAATATTAAGATACAATAACTTGGTATATAATAATACAATATAAATATATAGTGATCTCACCATGATTATTATTTAACCAGAAATATAAATGTATTTTTTCATATACACTGTAGTATTGCTCTATGGTCTTTTTCATTTTGACATATGTAAACTAATAAAAACAATTTTGAAAGTAGGTTTGGGAACAATAACCAGTTGTTTTGTATGAACATCAACATCAATCAGAACTAAAAAGACATCTTGTCTTTGGCATAAAAATTGCAAGATATTTGAGAGAAATATGACTAACAAAAAAAAAAAATGTATTATACAATCCTGAAATATCTGTCCCTGAAGCTACACTGGTGATCCACTCGATTACGCTGGTTACCGAAACGGTTCGTTTTGGTAACTACAAAATGTCGGAACATCGAAGGTACGATTTTTCTTTATTTCGCACGTAGTAGGCAGAATTCCCACGACATTTTTAACACAAATGTGTATCAGTATCATATGTTTAAGAAAATGTACATATTTGCGAACAAATAGTTCAGAAGACAACAGAATCGTCGATTTAATCCCTCACTTAAGTTACATTTAGTTTTTCGAAAAACGGTTAAGATCTGCACTTGTAACCAGCGTAATCGAGCGGATCACCAGTGAGCTAGTGCCCTTTGCATATTAGTCATGTACATGTAGATCCCAATTGCTAATTTAGTTACATCTGATTGTATATGTTGTTGAATTATATTCAGGTTTTTCTCTCAAAATATTAACAGTAAATATCTTTCGAAATGATTCAACAACTAAGAATGGACTGAGGCAAAAATGTAACGTGAAATCAATAAATAAGACCAAATAAAAACTGAGGTGAAAATGGGTATCTAAAGAGTTATCACATTTTTAGTCAAATAAAGATACAAACTCCAATGGCAATGTCTCGGAATTGGATAAAATAGTCCGTTTTTATCTCCAACTGACATATAAAATATGAACAAAATCATTACACTACTTTTCAAGTTATAGTAAAATACGTAAAAATGGGTTAAAAATGGCCACCAACTACCCAAAGTGTCAATAGACAGTGCGCCATGCTTATCGTATTGACATATCAAATATGAACAAAATCGCTCCACTACTTTTTGAGGTATGGTAAAAAATGTTAAATAACACACAAAATGTCATTAGACAATGTGCAATGCTTCTAGTATTCACATACCAAAAAGTGAATAAAATCCAATATCGGATTTTGACCGACAGAGTTGATTTTTTGGATATGACCAGTGATTTTCTTTTTCTGAGTGACAGTCCATCAATAATTTTTTCCGTTTTTGTAATGTTTGGACAGCGTTAATAAAAGCACAGGTCTAGTAATTACACATTCTAATTTGAGATTGTTTTTGATCATTTTCCTGCCTTCTCTGGGATTAGATGTCTTGGTCTCATAGCAGGATATTTGACCATTATCGATCTTCATTATTCAGTTATTAGACTGAAAGTGCAGTTACTCTTTTGACTTCCAAATTGGACTCCCATTTTTGTTTGGTCATAATCACTGAGTTGGTGTTGCTACCGGACTTCATTCTATTATATTAGATAGATGGCTATTGGCTGTGCATCGGTCTTATATTTGTTTGGACATAAGGCATGGGTTTTGTGCGTTATATTGGTTTATATGAGAACATATCTGACAGATTGCTATGCGAACATATTGATATCTAATGGTTCGGCCTAGGAGCAATGCCAAATTGTGTAGGCTTATACTTACTCTACCGAGCTGACAGAAGTCAGCTCTGGGAAGTTGGATGTATGTGAACTTGAAAAGAATAAATCGAGCCCATTTTGACTAAACGCTGTACTGAGTAGCGTTTATAATACGCTATATATTTGAATCAATACATAATTTATTTGTTGTTACCTTATTTTGTTCCTTCAACAGTCTGTTGTTGTAGTAAATCAATGTTCTTGTAGACAACAAAACTTTTGAATTTAGATTCCAGCCATTTTAGGTCACGCGAGATCTCGTGACTTTCGAAAGTAAAAATTTGCTACAAAATAACTCGCGCTAGCTAAATATGATATAGTCACGTGATCTCTCAGCGGTAATACCCATGCGCATAAAAGTACAATGCGCATGTGCACGCATGCGTAAAAAGTTAAAAAATGGTGCGCGCCAGATTTGGAATTTCTCCATTTTAACTGCAATTACACAAGAAGTAGGACTTATTGTCACCACGCGTGATGAAAAGGGCAAGTTACATTCAATTATCTTCTTAAGGTTCAGCTGGAAAGTAACATTTTGGTAAAAAATTGCTATACCTGCACATGTTATTTTCTGGTACAAAATTAAGTATGAAGTTGTGTGTGTATTTCCTTGCTTTTTTCAGGAAAGTATCATTACACTGTTTACTTATAGAATATCTAGAAACAGGTCAATGGTAGCTCCTATGTTGTCTGGAAACTTTGAAAGAAAATTTGGAAAAATAGAAAGTGTGAAATATCAGAATTTCCTGGAGTTTCCATTGAACCCCTACCAGATATTCTAAAAGAAGACAATGTAATGATACTTTCCTGAAAAAAGCAAGGAAATTGACACATGCCTTCATACTTTATTTTGTACCAGAAAATAACATGTGCAGGTATAGCAATTTTTTACCAAAATGTTACTTTCCAGCTGTACCTTAAGGTACAAAATAAAGTATGAAGACATGTGTCAATTGCCTTGCTTTTTTCAGGAAAGTATCATTACACTGTCTTCTTTAAGAATATCTAGTAGGAGTTCAATGGGAACTCCAGGAAATTCTGATATTTCACAATTTCTTTTTTTCCAAATTTTCTTTCAAAGTTTCCAGACAACACAGGAGCTACCATTGACCTGTTTCCAGGTTTACTAAAAGTAGACGGTGTAATGATACTTTCCTGAAAAAAGCAAGGAAATACACACATGCCTTCATACTTAATTTTGTACCAGAAAATAACATGTGCAGGTATAGCAATTTTTTACCAAAATGTTACTTTCCAGCTGAACCTTAAATACCGTTTCTTATTCCAGCGCGCCTGCTGGAAGTTGGAGAAAACCGCTTCACAGGACGGTATATTCTAACGGTGCTTCAGCTGGCTTTTGAGCCAGCTGTGTTCAGTAAGCTTATACAGTGAACCCCCAGGGAAAAAAACGAAGAACGAATGTCTGAACAAATCAATTCAGGAAATGTTCTGAATCTTAGTATACAAATGAAATGTAGATGTCTAACCTCACAACAACAAAGATATCAGCACATCATCAAACTTGGTTCAAGGTCATAATAATCGTAGTAAAGTAAAGATCTTTCAACAGATTCTGGAAGGTTCTGAACGAATTTTGACAAGCACATGCCAAAATCCAACATGGCGACTTACCTTAGCAGCGGTAACATTTCCTAATTGGACTTTCCTGCCTGACTCACGCTTGGTATTTTGATCTGCAATAGAGAAATATATTAGTTTTTTACATAAGGAACAAATTGCTACCATCGAAACTACATGAAATGTACTTACTTAGCACTACAACTGGAGCTCCTCCACCGAACATGTTTGATATTTTTCGAATTTTGAAAACGAGGCTTCTGTTAAGCGGCGGTGCCAAGCGGACACAGTTGAAACTAAAATACACTCTCGGTGAAAACTACTGTCAATAAATTACTTTTAATAAAAAATGAACTAAAATCAATCGGTGAGGTTGATGAATCAGATTTTTTAAACCATTGCATTGCATATTATTTCTAATTGAGTATAAATAGCATTTCCCAGTTTTTTGGGAATTGAAACTGAGCCTAGAATCGGAAGCTCTAGAGCTAATTCAGTCAAAGTGTAAAAATGACAGGAATGATACTATGTCAGTTTGTAGTTCTGAACTAAGTTCAGGGGTGTAGGAAGGTGTAAATTCAACACTACGCCAATAATTTGAAAAAATGTCATCTTTATTATCAAAACGTCTCTATTTTATGCTCGTTAAACTTCTTTCTAATGTGTTTAAATGTTCGAATGTTTTTCATCATATAAAATCACCATGGCCAGAAAGCCGATCTTTTAAATCTCGAAAATATAGATAAAGAAACTAGTATATAATCAATAGAAATAGAAACATGTCCGTAATCAATGATACAACTAACTCTAATGCCTGCAACTTTTTACCCCCCTCAATCCTTCTGACGCCCCTGAATAGCTTCATTTACTCAATTAAAAGGGCAGATAATAAAGATTTTGAGGTTATTAGCAATACTGTAATGGTTTACTTACTCAATTTTGAGAGAAAGATAATACAGTGGATTCTGTTGTTGCTGCCATCTTTATATCGGCCCAGAATCTGTGATATTTCCTTTAGTTTTGATCGGGGGTGTACTTACACAAAGTAGGTCAAATGACGTCACTTGTGTACAAACATTGCCCGCCATGTGGAATACCGTAAAAAATGGAGCAGTTTAAAGGTAAATATATATCATTTTTATACATTTATGTTCAGTTTAGATTATTCAAAGACACAAGCTAAATAAGTTATGAACCACTGCTCTCTTTTTCAATGTTAAAGTTTAAAGCGCTAGTTGAATATTTAGCCATGAATTTATGCTGTTTTGATTTCTAAATTTTTGTCAATATTTTCAATGTTCAGAATCAAACTCAAAGACTTACAAATGAATTATTCGTATATTTCAAATCATTTAAGTTTTAATGAATCAAATTTGCTTCTATTTGAAGTTTTCTTCATATTGTTCTAGTTTTCACTTCTCTGGAAGACAGATTTATTACTCACCTGAGTTCTGCAACTCAAAGGAGAAAGTGGATGTAGGTTACTCGAGTCTTTAGCCAATTCAAGAAGTAATTCCATCTGAACTTACTTCGGTCCAAAGCCTTCTCTATATTCCGGCTTTGAGGAGGAAGATTGAGCTGCCTTAGTATTATAAATATTGTAAATCATTGTGTCACACGCACAGTAAATATGGCATAATAATATGAAATATACCTTTATGTATAGATTTGAAGAACACCAGCTCACATCCCCGTCTGAATCTATTGTTATATTTGATTTCTTTAAGCGAGAATAATTTCAAATGTTATTCACGTCCAGAACCGGAAGCCATTTTTAGCTACAGCGAGAAAATTTCACCATGTGTCAAACTCCGAAATGAAATTTTGAAATATCTAAATCCAGACAAGCAACGCTTCATCCTAAATATGATTAATATTCTTAAAAATATTTATAAAATTTATTAAAAATGAGTTCTAGGTGCGTGTAGGTGCGTGTAGCACAGTACATACGAAATCAATGAAGTTTCGTCTAGCTGTAAGCTAGAGACTCGAGTAAATCTGAACTATTTTAAAATTTCTAGCCGAGGTTCAATAAATTTAGTAATATTCTAAAAACCGTCATGTTAATATTTCATGAATTGAAATGGTAACGGATTGTCTTGTTGATGAGATATTGAACGTTTTCATTTATTTAAAATAGAAGTCGTCCCGTTTTTGTCTGTTCTCATAAGCTTACATATAGATGGCAGCCTTGAAGAAAGGATAATGGTGGAAATTGTATTTCACTATGAATAAGAATATATATCAGAGGTTACTCACGTCGAGAGCTACCATGTTAGATTTTGAAAGTATAGCTCTCCATCGTGAGGATCTCCCAGCTGAAGAATTGTGACATCTAAATTTGATCAGCGCCAGTCAATGGCTTGCTGTTTGTCTCAAACTGTAGCCTACATATGGGCTCATATGTGTCTACTTTCCCCGTGCATGCAGGATCGCGGATGTGCTTCTATGGCGATCAGGAGTTCTAATCGTTTTCTGTTCGATACCCATTTCCAATATGGCGGTTAAACGGAAATACCATCGACGCATGCGCAACTTGGGAAACGTCAAGCCGCCATATTGAATATACCTGGCCAAAACTTTTGACACGACCAATAAAATGAAGTCCTGATCGATACATAGGGCAGTGAGACGTTCTATAGTTGAGCTGAATGAAAGATGGCGATGTAGGATACATTTTCAGGTATATAATGTGCAACATGAGTCAGCTGAATTCCCTGAAATTTTCTTTGAAGTCAGGATTCTTAAGCTGTTGATTCTAGCGATAGAGAGCTATACTTTCAAAATCTAAGTAGCTCTCGACGGGAGTAATATCAGAGGTAGATGATTCTATGAACTAGGACTGCATGTAAAGATCAATGAATGTGGGTCTATTATGTTTACATCAATAAAAATGACCTACCGTAATCGCCGTAATAAGCGCCCAACCCTTATGAGCGTCCATCCCGCTTCACAGAGATCAAGAAATATCAAGGAATGACCAAGTATTAAAAGTATAGAAAAAAATCAAATTTCCGAAGAAATATAGTGGGCGATAATAGAGTACTTACACCAAAATGCAGAAAACATGACGCATTTTGTAATTCGATGCATCCTCCCAATAAATATCTATCAGTGGGTGCCTACCACATAATACTAGGCTAATATTATCTCAAAATAGTCCATAATGAATGAAGGAAATGATCACTTTTCAGAGTTTTGTTTTGACATTTTACTAACTAGCGATTGTCAAGGTCAGGTCAAGGTCGTGAATTTTCTTGTTTCTTTTTAAGATTTCTCGACTTTTACACGAAAAATGATGATCTGTCATCAAATTAAAAAAATAAGGTATAACTTTAGATCGATATCTAACAGTCTATAGGAAAAATTCCTATACATGAAATTCCTGGAGATTTTTGACTTCTCTCATATATGGACACTCTTTTGTAATGGGTTACAATGGGAATTTCAATTTCAAAAACACCCTGGGCGTTTTTTACGGCGAATACAGTAACCGGGCAATTTAAAGGCAAATTCAAAACAAAGAGTGCCTTATTTATATTCTATGGCCATAAAATATGGTAAGATCTAGGTACCTAGCAAATACTTATTTAGATCATGTCATTTGAAACATTGATTCAAAAATGACCGTTAGCTCCGCACCCTCCGCTCATTTGCGCCGCACCCAATATTTCCCACAGGCTCTGTCTGCATAGGGTGAGATGTAATAAATTTGATTTCCCTAAACAATTAGGTCCTCGGGTAAAAGTAAAGTTAAGTTGGTAGATAGATAAAATTTGGTAAATAGAAATCAAGGCTAGACATGTCAAAATTGGTAATCGCCCCCAGAGAACATGACATTTCAAGTGGGGGTTCAAATCAAGGGTTTGATAATTTTCCAATTTTGGAACCATGTTCTAGTCAGTATCTTACATGATTTTGCAGGGCTCCTTTATACTTTTGGTCTTCTTCATGCATAAACACGCGGTACTAACTTCGACCGTTAATTTGATTTTTGACCTACCGGATGTTTGAAAATCAAGGATTACGAGTCTCATACTGCACCGTTTTTCTTCAAACTTGTTCCATTCAAAGCATAACAAAAATCCCTTTCTGTTGGTACATTATTCTCTTAAACAGAGTCTCTACTTCCAGCGGCATTTTGGTCCCCAGCTGTAAGAAGGCCTTCTAACAGCTGGGGACCAAAACGCTGCTAGAACGACGGACTCTTTACAATAAAGTAATGCACCGACATAAAGGCAATTTTGTTTTGCTTTTAATGGTATAAGTTTGAAGAAAAACGGTGCAGTATGAGACTCGTAATCCTTGATTTTCAAGCATCTGGTAGGTCAAAAATTTAAATTAACGGTCGAAGTTTGTACCGCGTGATAAAACAGTAACTTAAATTATTACATTTTAACATAATCTTGACACAATAAGATACATGTCAGAAAATGTTTATTTGTCGTTTCCTCTAGTTTCTCACTAGTTCTTTATTTCTCGCTCGAAATTGAAACAATGGTAAATGGTGCATTTGAAAACTCAATCTGGCGAACACTGACATAATTTTCCATTTTTCCCCTTCGGAATATTTTTACTCCAACAACTCCTATATTACTAGATTCCAAAGTTCGCTGGTGATTTCTAATTGGAGTAAGGTTTTGAGTGCGAGTCCCAACACAAGAAAATGTAATATCTTACACATACATCATACATGATATAGATACATGTTGGAAGCCAAGCGGCCTCTTATAAACATCTATGACTTAACAGGGATAGACGGGAAAGAATGTAATATATGAGCCAGGCTACAGGAAAAAGGGTCTTATCACAGATTTTTTCAATATTCTGTTTTTTTGTTTATCTTAAAAATCACAAAGAAACCTTTCAAATGAGCCATGGCTTTTGTCCTAACAATTTTTTCTTGCATACATATAGACCAAAAAGTCAGATCTGAATTTAGCACATTTTTCGCTTAATCGTGGGCACATTTTTGGCTCTGTAGCACAATTTTAATTTTTGTGATAAGACCGGTTTCCCTTTGGCCAGGCTCATATGATACCTATAATAATTTGATTTGTTTGAATATTTTCTGTTCCATCTGTTTTTATACCAGAAATGCATTATACTATACATATGTGTAGTTACAAATGAAATTAGGTTCAGTGTTGCTGAACTAATTCATATCAATGTATGCCATATTGAAAACAACATATAGTCAACTGGAAGTATTAGTATAATATCAAAGGGAAGATATTGATCATTTCCAGCTCTTATCATTTTAACATATACAGTACGTGGTAAGTTACCTTAACTCAAGTAGATCTCAATGCCAGAAGAATGTAATATGTAAATCTTCTATATGATTGATTTTACATTCTAGATCAGTAGTTGATTCATAATTAGACAAATCTAGGTGATGGTAATTATTGTAATGTTTGGATACACGTAATCTAGTGATGAAACATTTGGTTATTAATACCCATATTTTCTCAAACCTTCTCATGTTTCTTCGTACATAAACTATTATAGTAAAGGATCAGATTGATTACATCTTTATCTGATTATTATACTATTACCATGGGTTGTATCATCTTGGATTACCATGGACTTAGGTATGAAGTTTTCATTGAAAATCAAACTGATAAACGATACTTAAATTCAAGGTTTCTGTAATGTAACAAATATTTATTGATGTAGTCAGCCTACTGTACGATATTCACTTTATTCATGATCAGCCAATATAAATGTTATCTATCTATAAAATTGCATGATATTGAAAGCGTCGGATGTACAGGTTAATAAAATGAATGATTGCTTACAAATTATTGGTTTATTAGTGAAACCTTACAAAATTAATTGAACAGAGACAAATGTACAAAAAAATGTATCCAATTAGATTTTGTGTCCATTTTCTTTAAAAATTCTTGTTACTGTTGTCGTTATTAAGCTTCAGTCGCATCTATTCTACAGTGGCCAAATGGCGCGCAGCTGTAAGCTTCAAAAGTTCGATATAGAAAATCTACATCACCTCTATATTTGATGCTGCATATTTCTCTTGATTTTGGGAAGCTACAGCTGCCGTAGTTGCTCTAGATCAAATGTGACTGAGGCATTTTCTTGATTTTTGCTTATAATCTTG